ATGGTGACTGTGGGTGAACTTTCAGACTCACATGTTACAGTTGCAGTCCAGATTTAGACATGTCCATCTGCACCTCTGGTGATAATGTTGGCACCCTGGGAAAGCAGGTCCAGTGCAGCCACTGAACTTCTGAGGCTGGAACTGTGTGCCAACCCCTGGCCTGCCAGGGCACTCACAGGCTTCACCACGTAGCACCTGCTACTGCTGGAGAGGGGCTCACCTCTGGCCTCAGCTGTCCCCCTTCTGTGCTGTCTACCCACCAAGCAGCTAACCACAGGACTGGCTCTCTGTTGACCTCACATTGTCACTGAGTGCAGCTGGAGGGCAACCCCTTCCCCTACATTCTGGGCTGCAGATGCCCAGAGGAGGGGCTAAGCCTTCATACTCTCTGCCAGGCCTGCTACCTGCACGTGGGAGCACAGAGGGCCATGAACTTGTGTGTTAGGAAGAAAAAGAGAGAGGGCAAGCTTATGTTGGGCCCATCACAGCAGCCCATGGGTAGAGATGAAGGAACCTTAGTCCCCATGCTGGAATCGCCTCTTGTGCCACACATATGCATAAGCTGAGGAATCCAGCTGCCTGAGTTTCAAAGGTGAGCTCTCCTACCATGAGGGAACCTAGCTGGGTTCCTAGCCACCAAAATAAACCACCAACACCAATCTGATATCATGGGTCCCTGTGACACTATTGGATTCCTGGCCTGTATTCGGGGGCTGCCTTTGACCTGTCCTAGGATCAGAGTTTAGAAGTGCTGGATTCTGGGACAGCGCGGTGGCTCACTTGGTTAGTAATCCACCTGCGGTGCCAGCATCCCATATGGGCAATGGGTTCAAGTCCTGGTTGCTCCTCTTCCATTCCAGCTCTCTGCTGTGGCCTGGGGGTGCAATGGAGGATGGCCCAAGTGCTTGGGCTCCTGCACTCACATGGGAGACCAGGAGGAAGCACCTGGCTCCTGGATTCAGATTAGCATAGCTCTGGCTATGGCAGCCCATTTGGGGGTGAACCAACGGAAGGAAGACTTTTCTCTCTGTCTCTTTCTCTTACTGACTAACTCATCTGTCAAATAAATAATAAAAGAAAAGAAAAGAGAAAAAAGTAATATCCTAAGTAGCTTGCAAACTGGACTGGAAGCCTCTTATTTAAAAAAAATATTTAAAAAAAGCAGTGCTGGATTCTGAGAGCCACAGTGAGAGACAGAACCACACAGGAATGGACACTGAAGCTAGCCAGCCTAGAAGGTGCAAAGTGGTCACTCCAGACCCTAACATGTGTGTTCCACAGGATCTCATGAACTGTCCCAATGCCCATGCAACTCAGGCTTTGTTACCACTCAACACAGCCCTGCCCCTAGTGGCTTGGTAACCCAAAAGGTATTAAATGTTTGGGACCTGGACCTCTGACTGAAGGTGGAAGATGCAGTGCCTGTCGCCCCAAAGGAGAACCACCAGGAACCACTGTTCCTCAGGTTCTGTGTGCCCCAAGAATGGACCAAAACATATTAAAGCAAACACTTTATTGCTCTTTAACTAGCAAGGCGAGAAGGAGGCTAGAAGTACCCCCTGTGTGGCTCTGAGGTAGCCAAACTGAAGTGTCTTGCTCATCCATGTTCTCACGGGCTGCCCAGGCAATGAGCTAGTATTTTCACGCACATGCAAGCCCAAGGAGCCAGGATCTGCTCCAACAGGAACAGCTGGTACTGAATTCATGTACAGACCAGGCACACAAGACATTCAGTGGCCTGGTGATCACACCCTTGCGGGGGACTCATGATGATCCAGTCTTCCAGCAACAGATGAGGCTGGGTTGATCCCATCAGGGTCAGGGAACTGTACCCCTGAGATGTGTTCTGTGAGCTCCACCCAGCTTGGAGGCAGGGCAGCATGCTGCTGACCTGCCTGGGCTGTGGATGGGGTGCCAGGCTCCAGCAGCAAACATGACAACCTGCACCATGGAGGAGGAGGAGGCCCACACACAGGCTACTAGGAAGTGGGGAGACTTGGGAAGTTCTCTCAACATGTGCCTGGCACTTCTGCCTGTCAATGTGCCAGAAGAGCTTGGACTGCAAGGGCCACAGTAGGTGATATGACTTTGGCCCTGTCTTCAGGTGGACACTACACAAGTTGAGGCCCAGTTGCAGCGGACCTGGGACAGACATGGAAGAGGACATATCCCTACTGGATGCTACTCTCTGGGGAACAGAAGTTTCCAGCATGCAGGGTTCTGTGAGCTTCAGAAGAGGAACTTGTGATGGAGCTGGAACATGCCTGAGCTGATGTGGATCTGTGAGCTACAGGATGGACACAGTCTTTGAGGTGCACCGTGAGAGGCCAGGGCCAGGACTCTAGGGAGCCTTCTTTGTCACTGCCTTCCTCTTGCCCTGATGTAACCTCAAATATTTTGGATTCAGCAGTTTCCATCATGAGGGGCCAGGAGCTGAGCCCCTGGGTGACTTGTGGAGGTTGGAGTAATAGGGAGATCCACCTGTCCTCTTGACAGCGTCTTGTGCCTCTGAGGAGTTGGGTGAGGCCTGAACCCCAGGGACTCTTGTGACAGAACTAGAGGCTTGCTCAGCAATTCTTGTGGTTTTCCTGAAAGGAACACAGAAGTGGTCAGCTTCTCAGACAGCCCATCTGATCCACAGGATGGTCCCTGAGCAGGACTCTGGGATCATCTAGACCCTGCCTTGTTCCCTGCTCAGATGATGACATTACCTCCTCACCCTCTTATGCTGCTGATCCCACAGGGAAGGGTATACCCAGCTTGGGCCAAGAGAGCTACAGGGGGCACACCAGGCTTCTCCTGGGATGCGGCCCCACCCATTACTAGAAGTGGCTCGGGATTCCTGCCTCATGCTGTCATCTCAAAGGCTACATGAACTCAATCAGGACTCACAAGGGCTTTTCCTATCACCTACCCCTGCTATCGATACCACCCCTAAGACCTCACATGGCCTTCCCCAGGGTATGCTTTATCTGTATCACCCAGAATTGACTTGTTGGAACCTAAAATCTAAATGGATGGCATTAGAAGGTGGAATTCTTGGAGCAAGAAGAAGACAGGAGAACCACCCTTGTGGTTCCTGTCTCACAGGAGGACATGGCATTCACCTCACTGTCACATTAGGACTTGGACTTCACCATTAGATCACGTGAGGAGAAGGCATTTACCCTTGTGTCAGGCAGTTACTGGATGATAACTCCTCAGTCAGTAGAGAACTGGGTGTTCACACTTCCCTGTGTAAGGAGGGACCATACAAACTTCTGTATGGTAACAACACAGTGTGCCCTTCTGTCCAGTGAGTTCACAGAATTCACCCATTTGGTGAGGAAAAGCTGTTCAGAATCCCACAGGAAAGTTGAAGGGAGAAGAGGACATTGATATTTCTCTCATATGAGCACAATGTGTCTACTCTTACCACAGGATTGGAAAGTGCATTCACCATTCCATAGATGAAGACATCCATTCACCCTTCCATCACGTGAGTACAGCGTGTTAACCCTAGCACCAAAAGATGAAATGGTGTTCCATCTGGTGAGGACATGGCATTGGTCCTTCCTGCACTTGAAGACATGTGGTGGAATGAGAAGGTGAGAAGGTCATGAGAATGTGAAAAAGTCATGACAAGATGGCCACTGACAACAGAAACTGCCTGGCAACAGGCCATGCTTGGATGGGATCAGAAACCACATGACAACAGAGCCTACTGACAACAGGCTGTGATTGGATGGTTTCAGAAACTGCCTGGCAACAGAGCCTGGCTGGCAACAAGCTGTGATTGGATGGCTTTGGAAACTGCCTGGCAATAGGCTGTGATTGGTTAGGGCATAGACCGCCCCTTGACCAGATTGGCTGTCTTGGCTATATAAGCAGCTGTAGCAACTTAAATAAATGAGTCTGTGGGCTGCTCCCCTCTGGCCTGTTTTCACCCGACTCCCGGGGTCTTTGTGGTGACTCTGAGCCTCTTGCCCCCACCACGCTTCTGCTCTCAGGATGAATCCTTTCAGAACAAATCAACTACAACAAAGACATGACAGTCAACATTCCTTCACATGATCTGCATCATGTTAGGACATGGCTTGCTTCCTACTTACACATGAAATAAGGGTGTCCACCCTGCCCTCAGGTGAAGAAAGGACATTCACCCTTCAATCAACTGCCTGCACAGAGTTCCCTCATCAGGTGAGAAAACTGCAGTCACACCTCCCTCAGGTGAGGACAGGACCTTCATCCTTCCTTCAGGTGCAATGAAGGCATTCACCTGCCCACTTCCATCATGTATGGCAGAGGGCTCACCTCTCCACAGTGGAGTACAGAGAAGTCACCCTTCTGTTGGTGTGACCAAGTAGCCTTGACCCTATTATCAAGTGCAGAACCAGCATTCACCTGACACTCACATGGCACTTCCTTCACCCTTCCATCAGACTGGCACAGGGCCTTCAGCTTTCTAGCAGACAAGGGCAGGACATTCTCCCTACCATCTCCTGAGCACTGCACATACACTCAGAGCTCACATCAGGACAAAACCTCCACCAGACCTTCATGTCAGGACATGGCATCCATCGTACAATCACATTAGGAAGTGACCTACAACCTTCTGTCAGGTGAGAAGAAAGAATACTGGGTTAGAATAATCCAGCAAACAGGGTGTTCACATTTCCCTCAGGAGATGCCTTTCAAACTTTTGTAAATTGAGAACACAGTGCTTGCTTTTCTGCCTACTGAGTTCACAAACTTCACGCTTCCATTTTATGAGGAAAAGGTGTTCCATCCCTCAGGTGAGCACAATGATTGCTCTTCCATCAGCAGAGTATATAGCACTCACATTGCCCTCAGGGGAAGCAGAGTGCATTTACTCTGCCCTCAGGATTGATAAGGACATTCACCATTCCACCAGGTGAGGACACGGCATTCACCCTCCATTATGAGAAGAATGTTAACCTTACCATCACAAGGTGAACTGGCATTCACATGTCAATCAGGCAAAAACATGGCCTTCTCCTTTCCTTCTACTGAGGACAAGGTATTCAGAATTCTCTCACATAAAGACATGGCCTTCTCCCTATCACCCCTTGAGGAAACTATATTCACTCTACAGACATAGGATAAAGATGTCCAACCTTCCCTCAGGTGAAGAAAGAATGCTTCCTCTTCCATTGGCTGGGTACACAGAATTCACCTTCTCATAGGAGCATTTAGCTTTCCATCAGGGGAAACAGGAAATTCACTTACCATCACCTGAGTACCTTTCATTCACCCTTCTATCACATGAGGGGACAGGGTCTTCACCCTATCTTCACCTAATATGAAATTCACCTTACTGCCCCATTAGGACATGGCCTCCAACATGCCATCTGGTGAGAAGGTATTCAGAGTTCCATCCGGTGAACACTGATGACAATCTTTCATTTGGTAGAGGACTGGATGCTCCCACATCCCTCCATGAGAAGGCATTCAAATTCTGTAAGCTTGGAACATGGCATTTGCTCTTCTCTCCAGCGAGGTCAGACTTCTCCCTTTAGATGAACAGAAGCTGTTAATATTTTCACAGGAGTGTACCACTGATTACTCTTCTATCAGCATAGAATCTGTCCCTTCCATCAAGGGATGCACCTTTCAACCTACTTAACCATAAGATGAGGGAGTCTACCCATCCCTCACGTAAAGAAAGCACATTATACCTTCCATCAGCTGAGTCCACAGAGTTCACTCTCCCATGAGCTGTAGAAACTGCATTCATGTTCCTGTTGACAATCAGATCTTCACTCTTCCATCAGGTCCTTCACCTCCCTGATGTCATAATTAGGACAGAGCATTCAAATTTTCATCATGCCAGGGTACAGGGTTCATCTCTGTATGCCCATGACAGCTTGTTCATCCTTCCCTAACAGGCCCACATGTACTTCACTCTATCATCATATGAGAACCCTGCATTTCCCCACCACTCATACAACAAACTTTCTTCACCCTTCCATTAGGAGAAATGATGGTGTTCACTATCCCACAGGAGTGTTCATGTGATTATCCTTCCATCATCAGGGAACAAGGCACTCAGTCTTCCTTCAGATGAAGGCAACACATTTTTTCCCATAAGTGTGAGAAACAGCATCCCATTCCACTAAATGGAGACATGGCCTTCAAGATTCCATTGTGTGATGAAAGTGTTAACAATGCTATCACAAGAAGAAATGGCATTACCATTTCCATCAGGTAAAGACATGGCACTCAGCCTTCCCACATTTGTGAACAAGACACCATCCTTTTCCTCAGTCAAGAACTGGGAATTCACCAATCCTTCATTTGAACACCTGACCTTAACCTCTCACCATGTGAGGACATGGCTTTCAGTCAACTGACAAGAAACATCAAGGTGTCCACACTTCCCTCAGGTAGCAAGGACATTCCCCTACCATGACCTGAGATCACAGAACTCACCCTTCCACCATGTGAGGAAAATGTGTTCATGCTTACCTCAGTTTGAGGGCAGGACCTTCCTCTTCCATCAGGTGAAGACAGGCCATCCAATGAGGACACCAAATTCAAAGGTCAGATATGTGAGATGACAGCCTTCACCTCTAGATAGTAGGGGACAGGGCATCCACATATCCATCACATGACCTTCACCCTATTGTGATGTGAGGACCCTGCACTCTCCCAGAACATACATGACAACACTGCAATCACACTTCCACGGGATATGCACAGAGTGCATAGTCTTTTACTTGGAAAGGACACAGCATTCACCTACATTACTAAGGATCCTGCTTAGAAGACTTTCTTGCTATCTTCACATGAGGACACACCATGCACCTGTTCTTTCATTAAAACATTGCCTTCTCTAAAGCTGTATTATGAAATACAGGAAACTTGCATAACATATAAATTTTTTTAAAGAAATTTTAATTGGATAAAAAATGGACTTCAACTCTCAGAGGAACTGAAAACATGTGGCTTTTTCAATTGGGTGCTGGGTGATAATTCTTCAGTCAGTAGCGAACATTTGGCTCCCACTTTCATCGTAGAGAAAGGGTATTGAAATTCTATAGGAACAGGACATGTTTGCCCTTCTGTCCTGACAAGACTCAGATGTCACCCTTCTATTAGGTGATGAGAAGGCATTTTGT